GGCACCATGGGGCACCGCGTGTGGCATCACGTGGCACCCAACGGGGCACCAATGGGCCACCGGGGAGCACCCAATGGAGCACCAAGGGGCACCGGGTGGCCCCAGGTGACACTGGGTGACACCACGTGGCACTGGGTGACACCACATGACACAGGGTGACACTATGTGACACCATGTGGCACTGCGTGTGGCACTGTGTGGCACCCAATGGGGCAGCAAGGGGCACCGGGTGGCACCGGGTGACACCACGTGGCACTGGGTGACACCATGTGACACCGTGGGGCACTGCGCATGGCATTGCGTGGCACCCAACAGGGCACCAAGGGGCACCCAATGGGGCTCTACATGTGACACCACGTGTCACCATGTGTCCCCATTTGTCACATGTCCCCACATGTCCCCATGTGACCCAGCGTGTGTCCTCCCACATGTCCCTGCGTGTCCCCATGTGTCACCCTGTGTCCCTGCATGTCACCATATGTCACCATGTGTCCCCCGTGTCCCATGTCCTCCCGTGTCCCCCATGTCTCCGTGTGTCCCGTGTCACCATGTGTCACTCTGCGTGTCACCCATGTGTCCCCGCATGCCACCATATGTCACCGCGTGTCCCCATGTGTCACTGTGTCCCCCTGTCCCCCATGTCCCCATGTGTCCCATATCACCACGTGTCACTTTGTGTGTCACTCTGTGTCCCTGCATGTCACCATATGTCACCACGCATGTCCCGTGTCACCATGTCCTCCCGTGTCCCCCACATGTCCGTGCGTCCCTACATGTCACCATATGTCACCGCGCATGTCCCCGTGTCTCCACGTCCTCCCGTGTCCCATGTCCCTGTGTGTCCCGTGTCACTCTGCGTGTCACCCGTGTGTCCCCACGTCGCCATGTCACCACGCGTGTCCCGTGTCACCATGTCCTCCCGTGTCCCGTGTCACCATGTCACTTAGCATGTCACCCGTGTGTCCCCGCATGTCACCATGTCTCTGCACTTGTCCCTGTGTCCCATGTCACCATGGCCTCCCGAGTCCTCCCATGTCCCTGTGTCCCATGTCACCACGTGTCACTTTGCGTGTCACCCATGTGTCCCCGCATGTCACATGTCACTGTGCATGTCCCCGTGTCCCCATGTCCTCCTGTGTCCCCCATGTTCCCATGTGTCCCATGTCACATGTGTCACTTTGTGTGTCACCCTGTGTCCCCGCATGTCACCATATGTCACCATACGTGTCCCGTGTCACCATGTCCTCCCATGTCCCATGTCCCTGTGTGTCCCGTGTCACCACGTGTCACTTTGCGTGTCACCCGTGTGTTCCTGCATGTCACCATGCATGTCCCATGTCCCGATGTCCTCCTGTGTCCATGTCCCGTGTCGCCCTCTGTCACTCTGTGTGTCACCCTGTGTCCCCGCATGTCACCACATGTCACCGCGCGTGTCCCGTGTCACCGTGTCCTCACGTGTCCCATGCCCCCATGTGTCCCGTGTCACCACGTGTCACTCTGCATGTCACCCGTGTGTCCCCATGCGTGTCCCCGTGTCCCCTACCGCTTCTTGGCGATCTCGTTCTGCCGCTTGACCTTCTCCTCCTCGAACTCCCGGATGTTCCGCACGCCGATTTCCCGGCAGAATTCCTCAAAAACCTCGTCCTCCACCTGCGGGGGAGTGTCAGGAGCCCCAAAAAGGCTGGAATCGCCCCCAAAATCCCCATTCCCACTCCCAGACCTGGTTCATCTTCTCCTTGAGCTCCCGCATCTCCCGCTCGCGGCCTTGGATGATCCTCTTGATGTCGTTGATGCGGGGGCCGAAGTTGGCCAGTTCGCTCTCCAGCTTGGATTTCTCCTGCGGGAATGCCGGGAATGTCGGGAATGTGGCCGGAGCGCCCAGGGAAATGGGGATGCGGATGGAGATTGGGCTGAGGTGGGATGGGATGGGATAGGGTGGGAATGAGGATGGAGATTGGGGTGAGGTGGGATGGGATGGGATAGGGTGGGAATGAGGATGGAGATTGGGGTGAGGTGGGATGGGATGGGAATTGGGATGGGGATCACGATGGGGTGGGGTGCGATGGGATGGGGTGGGAATAGGGATCGGGATGCAGATTGGGATGGAGATGGGATGGGATGGGAATGGGATGGAGATGACAATTGGGATGGGGTGGGATGGGGATGGGGATTGGGATGGGAAGGGATGGGGATGGAGGTCGGGATGGGGCAGGAATGGGGTGGGAATGGAGATGGGATGGGGACGGGATGTGGATGAAGATTGGGGTGGGAATGGAGATGGGATGGAGATGAAAATCGGGATGGGGTGGGATGGGAATGGGGGATGGGGATTGGGATGGGAAGGGATGGGGATGGGATAAGGATGGGGATGGAGGTCGGGATGGGGTGTGAATGGGGTGGGAATGGAGATGGGATGGGGACGGGATGTGGATGAAGATTGGGGTGTGATGGGATGGGATGGGATGGAGATGGGGTAGAGTGGGAATTGAATGGATGAGATGGGGATGGAGATTGGGATGGGAAGGGATGGGGCGGGAATGGGGATGGAGATTGGGATGGGAAGGGATGGGGTGGGAATGGGGTGGGATGGAGATAAGAATGGGATAAGAATGGGGTGGGATGGGGAAGAGGATGGGGATGAAGATCAGGAGGGAAGGGGATGGAGATTGGGATGAGATGGATGGGATGGGATGGGGATGAAGATGGGGATGGGATGGGGACAGAGAAGAAGCCGGGGGCAGCAGCAGCCCCAGGTGCCCAGGGCTCCGCCACAAGAGCCTCCGTGCCCTCAGTAGGCTCCAGAGTACACAGGTGGTGCGAGAGCCCCCAGTAGGCTCCAGAGCGCCCCAGTTTGGCGCTGCCAGTAGGCTCCAGAGTACACGGTGGCCGTACCTGCAGGTTGAGCGCCAGSTGSCGCGTCTTGGTCTGCTCCAGGTCGCTCTGCGAGTACTTGAGGCGCATCTGGAGGCCGTGCGCCTGCGACTGCACCTGCCGCAGCTCGGCCTCCTTGCGCTTGGCCTTCATCTGCTCCTGCGCGGGGACACGGTGGGGCTCAGGGGACAGCGGGGGACACTTGGGGACACTGGGGGACGCGGCGGCACCTTGAGCTCCTCCGTGAG